CAGCCAGTGGGGTTACCACAGACCCATAGAAACCAGCAAGTCCCCACCCACTACAGCACACCTGGCGCCCCAGCATGCTTACAAGATCCCTCGCCACAGGGCGATGCGATTTCCCCATCGCCCAGGAGGCTGCATAGCACCTGGGTCACTGAGGTCTCCCTCCAGGAGGCCCTCATCTGTGGGCCAGTCCCACTCCCGCTGAGGTTGGGGACCAGCCCGTCGTCGGGAGTGTGGAAAGCCTGCAATCCCTGCCCCGCAGAGGAGAGACGGCAGGTGGGTGCAACCGAGACAGGAGCTGTCAGCTGCCAGCCGGCAACAATCACAGCTACCGGCACGCCACACGCCAGCCCCGGGACAGCCCCCAGCCGTTCATTTAGCCCCAGTGGCGCTGTCTCCACTCGACGCCTACGGCAACGGAGACAGGAGGAGGCGATTTACCCAGAGCCGCACAGGAAGCTTTGAAACAGAGCGCTGGGCTCCTAGCCACGCAGCCCTCTGCCCTAGCCACTGTAAGCCGGGCACCTGTGCAGCCACTCAGGAGACAGCCCAGTGCCGCCCAGCTGAGTGGCAGAGCGCCCGCAGCCAGGGCTGTGTTTCTATTGGCGGTGCACATAACAAAACTTATTCTGCACATAACTGGAAAAAAATCTGCCCGTGGATAGAAGAGAAGAGCGGGAACATTGGTGGGGTCAAGAAAGACTCTGTGGTGCTGGCAGGCCAAGTCCAGCTGTAAAGGAGCAAGCACCTCGCTGAAGGTGTGACCCCGGGACCAGGGCCTCCTCCCTACCTCTGGGATTTCCACTCCATGCAGCTGGCAACTTGGCTTTGACCCGCGGACGCTGAGGCCCCAGCAAATCTGTGAGTCGAGAGGTGCCACAGGCTCCGCGTTTATTGACAGAGGCATTTCCGGATGGAGCTGAGCAGTTTTGTATCCAAGTCACCGCACGCCTCCATTTTTTAATGTATCGAAAGCTGCTGCAGACTCTCGAGCCCAGCCCCGCATTACGAGACGGCACGGAATTCACTTCCACTTGCTGTGCAATTCACAGGTCCTTATCTCCCAGGCCTCTCTCCCGGTGCCCACTTCTGCCAGCGCCGCGGAATCGTAATGATGCTCAGCGCAATACAGGTTCGCACTCGTTCATTAACCCTCCGACAGCCCTGTGAGCCAGAGAAGTACCATCCCGAGGCTGTGGGTCAAGGAAGAGCACAGGGAACAGCTGTTCACATCCCTCTGCCGCCTAACATGTCACTTTGGGCTTCCTGTTGCTTGGAGCTTGAGTGCAACACAAACCCAGGCCTCACACGCTGCTTAGATGCTGTGGCGCCACATAAACGCAGATGGACACCCTGCTGCTGTCTCCACAGCTCCTGGCAGGCTCAGGAGTAGGCCCACTGTATTCACAGCTCTCCAGGGGACCCAAGATCTCTGCTACAGGCAGCCCCGGGCCCTGCCGCCCTCCG